CCCCCGCGGGGCGCATCCAGTGTGGTACTGGGTCCCAGCTGCCTGCAGAGAGGGGGGAGAGGACGGCGTGCTGGCGTGCGGCGCGTGCCCGCTCTGACAGGCGGCACACAGGCGGCTCAAGGCGTGCGGAGGTGTCGCTGCTCCTCGAGCCGCACGAGCAGGCGGCGTTCCCCGATGTGCACTTGGGCAGAGCACAGGGAGTGGTACCCGGTTCTGCTAACGACTGTTTTCTTGGAGCAGGTGATGCTAACTGGCGGCTCCTGGGCCCTTAGCTCTGGCTTTTTCCTCCTGCAGGTCCCAGACTACCTGGATCACATCAAGAAGCCGATGGATTTTCAGACAATGAAACAAAACCTGGAAGCCTATCGCTATCTGAATTTTGATGACTTTGAGGAGGATTTCAACCTGATCATTAACAACTGTTTGAAATACAATGCCAAAGACACAATCTTCTACCGGGCAGCCATCCGTCTGCGGGAGCAGGGAGGTGCTGTTCTCCGGCAGGCTCGCCGGCAGGCTGAGAAGATGGGCATTGACTTTGAGACAGGCATGCACTTCCCCCACTGTGTGACAGTGGAAGAGGCTCAGGTCCAAGACATCGAGGACGGTGGGTACTCATCCCCTGTCCTGGGGTACAAGGCCTGCTTGGGCAGAGTTGGGGCCCCCAGGGATGTTCTCAAGCTGCCTTCTGGTGGAGGTTCAGTTGGACACCCGGGCCTTGTGTCCCCACTCCCGAAGAGGTGGGGGCATTGCTGGCCACACACTTACCAGCCCCATTAGGTTGGTTCTGGGCTGCAGTTTGTATGGGTGACCTGGTAGTCACTTGGTCCCTTGTATTCCTCTTGGCCAGAGCAGGGGGCTGCCTGGATGTGGCCTTCCTGGCCAGCACCAGGGGTGCTGTCACTTGCCCCATCCCCAGCACTGTCTGTGAGCTGCAGAGGTTTCTGCTGAGGCAGCGCTCACCCCACTGGGTGCTGTGTGCTCCCTCCTCCTCCCAGCTGTGGGCTCTGCTGTGCAGCTCCCGACACCCCTCAGCCAGATCTCACCGTCTCCATGGCTGTAGTTCCGCTCATCTCTGGGCAGTGGGGAGCACCGCCAGGAACAGCTTGTCAGAGAAGGATCCTTCCAGGGTCCCTCTCCCCCTCTTCTGGCACAGGGCAGGCTCAGACAGGAGAACTTGCTCTAAGATGCTTTGGGATCCCTTTGACTCTTGTTTCTCCTGTGAAAAACCCCTTTCTTTTCTCCTGCTGTGTCCTTTCCCCAGCTGATGGGAACGCTGGTATTCTTTGAGCTGCTGATCTGCCTCCTTTCCCAGCAGCCCCAACTGGCTTGATTCCCACAGGGCTCCTTCTCCAGGCCTTTTAGGGTAACTTCCCGTGTTCACAGGTGTTTGGTACCATGTCAGCTACTTACCTCCTGTGGGGAGCCTGGATTTCCCCATGCCCTTTCAAGTAGAGGAGCTCCAAAGAGTTACCGATGTCTTCCATCCATCTGATCCTCTTTGTTCCCTCAGAAGACGTGCGGCTACTGCTCTCAGAAAATCAGAAGCACCTGCCCTTGGAGGAGCAGCTAAAGATCTTGCTGGAGCGGCTGGATGAGGTCAATGCCAGCAAGCAGAGCATAGGACGGTCTCGCCGGGCCAAGATGATCAAGAAGGAGATCACGGTGCTGCGGCGGAAGCTGGCTCACCCGCGGGACCTGGGCCGAGACGGGCAGGAGCGGCACGGCTCCGCCCGGGGAGTCCTGCAGTCGCACAACCCCTGCGAGAAGGACCTGCAGACGGACAGCGCCGCCGAGGAGAGCAGCAGCCAGGAGACTGGCAAAGGTGTACCCGTCCCTCCAGAATGATGCCGGTTTTGGGGAGCGGTGGAGAACCGCCTCTGGTCAGGCTTTGTTGCAGGGGGGGCTGCCCTGACAGGTGGCAAGTGGTTTAGGACCTTTGGCTCTCAGGGGTGCAGTGGAGCTTCTCAGCTGCTGTGTGTCATAGGGAAGGTTTATTCCTTCTTGCTTCCTGTTCTTGACTTCTGTCTCTGGTTGCTGCCAGGCAGAAAGGAGGATATCCCTGGCTGGTGGAGTGTTCTCTGATGTCCCCATCTAGCTTTTACTGCCAGCAGGTTGGATAATTTGACGCTGAGGGCGGAGGCATGGCAAAATTCACGATGGTAGCATCTTCTGAGATAACATTCCTGAGAAATGAAGCTGTTCCTTGATGCCCCTGCTGTGCGGTCCCTGAAAGGTCCCACAGGCTGCAGCTGACACCTTCTCTCTCTTCCAGGTCTGGGTCCCAATTCTTCTTCCACTCCAGCACATGAAGTGGGCAGGAGAACCTCAGTGCTCTTCTCCAAGAAGAACCCTAAGACCGCAGGCCCTCCAAAGCGACCGGGACGCCCCCCGAAGAATCGCGACAGCCAGATCACTCCCGGGCACGGGAACAGCCCCATCGGGCCCCCCCAGCTCCCGATCATGGGCTCGTCCCAGCGGCAGAGGAAGCGAGGGCGAAGCCCGCGGCCCAGCTCCAGCTCGGACAGCGACAGCGATAAATCTGCCGAGGACGCTCCCATGGGTGGGTGCAGCGGCCGCTGCCCTACCAGGAGCCCACGCCGAGGTCCCGCGTGGTGGTAACGCTCTCCCCATGGGGTGTTTTTGCAGACCTGCCAGCCAATGGTTTCAGCAGCGGGAACCAGCCGGTGAAGAAGAGCTTCCTGGTGTACCGCAACGACTGCAATCTTCCCCGGAGCAGCTCCGACTCGGAGTCCAGCAGCAGCAGCAGCAGCAGCGCCGCCTCGGACCGTACCAGGTACCGGCTCTGACGGTGCGGGTGCTGCCCCACACGGCAGCGGGCAGCTCTCGGAGAGCCTGTGTAGTGGTACCTGTCTTGTTCACCCTCCTGGGACCTGGCTACCGTTGGCTAAACCCCAGAGAACTGTGAGGTTTTTGCCTCTTTTAATGTGAAGGCCAAAGAGGTGAGTGCACAGTGAAGGGCTGTAGGGAGCACGAGGTGGGAATTCCTTCCCAGCACAGCAGTGGCTCTGGCACCAGCCCTCCCAGCTGGTGCCTGCCTGCACCCCTCATCCAGATCAGTGCCCTGCTTCTGGGTCCTCCCACGTAATGGGGTGAGTGCCCAGTGGGTGCCCCAGCAGACGCGCCCTTCCACTGCTCTTCCTGGCACCTCTGCCGAGCCCTTCCCGGTGCTGAAGCTGGCAGTGGGAGCCCACAAGCCCCAGTGCCTCCCTGTCTCAACAACGGTTTCTGGAAGCTCAACGTGGCTCCTGCTGCTACCTCTGCTTCCTCTCTTTGCAGCACAACGCCCTCCAAGCAGGGCCGAGGGAAACCCTCCTTCTCCCGAGTGAACTTCCCAGAGGACAGCAGTGAGGACACCTCGGGAACAGAGAACGAGTCCTACTCTGTGGGCACAGGGCGAGGCGTGGGGCATGGCAGTAAGTACAGCGGCCACGCAGGGGTTCAGCTGCAGGGAGGGGACACAGCTGACCCCCTTCTGCTCTCCTCTGGCACAGTGGTGCGCAAGGGCATGGGGCGTGGCACGGGGTGGCTCTCCGAGGATGAGGACTCCTCGCTGGATGCCCTGGACCTGGTGTGGGCTAAGTGCCGGGGCTACCCCTCCTACCCGGCGCTGGTGAGTACCATCGCAGCCTCCGAAATCCACGTTCCCTTCTCTGGCTGTGCGCTCGTGACCAGTGGCAGGGCCTCTGGAACGCCACGGCTTGGGGCCCTCCCATTCCCCTTTCATCTTTCCCTGCTCTCCGGGCAGATCATCGACCCGAAGATGCCGCGGGAAGGCATGTTCCACCACGGTGTCCCCATCCCCGTGCCCCCCATGGAGGTGCTGAAGCTGGGGGAGCAGATGACTCAGGAAGCACGCGAGCACCTCTACCTTGTCCTCTTCTTCGACAACAAGCGCACTTGGTAAGGCC